GGGGCAGGTGGGGCAGGGCACAGGGCAGGGCCGGGTGAGGAGCAGGGCACGGGGCAGGGCATGGGGCATGGTGTAGGGCAGGCCATGGGGCAGGGCGGCGCTCCACGGCTCCAGCCCTGGCTGCTGGGGCTGTCAGGCATCTGCCGGTTATGTAGGTCTTCCTCAGAATAGTTTCTGAAGCTGAAACCTCATTTTTGCCCTTGCTCTTACAGTACTTGCTTGGATTCTTTGTAACTTACAGCTTGGATTTTTTTAAGCTCCTTTCTGGTGCTTTTCTTGCCCCCACTCTGCAGGCTCTGGCTGCTAAAAGGTTTTTTTGTCAGCTAAAACGACACCATTAGTGCAGACACTTGGATTGGTGTCTTTACACAGAGTCTTATGCAAGAAATGCCCTCTTTGACCTGCTTTGTGAAATTATTTGCCTCTCCTTCATCTTTTTCCAAGATCCTTTGCCACTATGATGCTTGCATAAAACCCATGGGTTTAGGAGGGCCAGGTTAAAAGACAGCAGCAGCCAGTGAGGTCAGAGTAACGAAGAGTGTAGATACGGTTCATGTGTGCTCCTTATTTTATTTGAGAGACCCTATTGCGTGAGCAGTAAGTGTGTATGCTGGGGGAGAACTAGCACTCAGACCCCTGGGGACACAGGGCTGTGCAGTTGTCTTGGCATCTCTGTTAGCAGCACTTGCTCGCTGCACGTTGCTGATTGCAGACTGCTGAGGTGAAGATCTTTTCGTTGTAGTGCTGTAGCTGCCCATGGTTTCCCAAACATTAGAGCACAGAGTCTTTTAGGATGCAACTGGCTTAGTTTCGTTGGGTAGAAAGCCAAGTTTGTGGAGTCAGTCACCAGTATTGGGGACACAGCTGAGCACAGGCGTTTGCAGCTCTTCGGCTGGGGCAGAGAGAGGGTGTGGCTGTCTGGCTGTTTCCTGCTTTCCTTCTGGAGGGTTCTCTTTCTGGTGGTGACTTTCCCTGCTTGCTCCCTAGCCCTGCTGGTGGCGGCGCGGATGCACGACTTCCGGCGGACGGTCAAGGAGGTCATCAGGGTGGTCAAGGTCTGCGAGTCCACGCTGAGGAAAAGGTCAGTGCACTTGTATTGCTTTATCTTCTGCTTACAGTGCTCAGTGGTGATGCAGTCCCAGGTAAATGTGTATTGGGGAGAGCCAGGCGCTTTTCAGAAGCGCCAGAGTGAAATAAGTGCCACGTGTTTGAGCTGGTTGTTCAGGTGCCTACACCTCCCCTCGTGTGCAAGGCCTTGAATGCCTAGCAAAGGTGGTAAGGAGCACTGTGCCCATTGAACAGGTGAGGGGAAAGGCTGGAAAATATTGTCTCAGAAATGGTCAGTGTTGTCATGTCCTCAGAAAAAGTAATTTACTGGTTCTCAAAGCTGCACTCTACTGTGAGACTCTTTCATTAATCCAGGCACAGTGATGAACAGTCTTGTTCCGTAGCTGTTATTGAGCAGAACCTTACAAATGTTTTGATGAAATGCTTGTTTCTGGCAGTGCTGCACTGCTAATAAACAGAGGACACTGCAGTGAGTGTAATGACAGGTTCAGTGCAGGGGTCTGATGTGGAATTGCCAGCAGAGTGTGAGCCTGGAGGCAGGAATTTTCCAAGTGTTTTGGTGTGGTTTTCTCTTCAAAGATCTAGTAGTATTTCCCGTATTTTGATGAAGTCACCCACTTTCCCTCATTTTACTTATGGAAAGCTGTAACCTATTCTTGCCCTATGGGTTGAGTAAAACATGGCCTAACCATGATGGGCCATGTTTGCCCCCATTTCTCTCACCAGTGTGTTCTGATGTTTGTTCTGCCAAGGCCCCTTACTTTCAGAAGGCTTCCTTGGACCCTTCCTTTCTGCCCACCTCGCTGGCTTCAGCGACAGCACATCCAGCCAAGCCTGACACTTGTCACTAATGTTCACTCCGTCGCTGGGGAGGATACTTTCACCCCAGATCTTTGTCAGTGAAACAGGAATGATGCTGTTTCTCTGCTATGCATGGCTGGTGTAGGGATGAATTAGAAGTGTTTTAAATGCTTCAAGGTACTACAGCTCTAAGGATGGAGCAGTACAAGTGCCACTCTTTTTCCTCTGGCCAACAGGTCATGTGCTTCAGTGGTGCGTCTTGTGTGATTAATGTCGTGCCCCACAGCCTGCTTCAGGATGCTCTGCTTAGGCAGTTAAAGAGTTTGTTCATGCTAAGGAAATAAGCATAATGAATTAGAGTTGGAAGGAAAATTAATTTCAGCAATTGTTTCAGGCAAGACGATCTTATTTCAGAATTCAGGGTTTGAAGTGTTTACTCGAGTGACACACATCAGCTAAGATGACAGCGTTATTTACCCTGACAGGGCAGACGTGACAGCTGAGCTCTTCGAGGCAGCTGTAATTACAACTATTTATGGCAAATCCATAAATTTGATTGATGTTTTTCAAATAGGAGTAGCTATATAGTATTTAACAAAGGCAAATAGGAAAAACACCTTTGAGTAACTCTTTCTGCACTCCAGGTTTTCTGCTCTCCTTTCAGGAATTCCTCTCAAAATGCTTTTGACTAGGAGAGGTCTGAGCGCGTAAGAACTCGTTTCACACACCTGGAGATGTCTCTGCTTTCTGTCTGATGTCCGTGTTGTTTCCTGTCCATTCCTGCCCTGGTTGCTCCGGTCGGTGCTGCGATTGCTGGGAAAGTGCTGGGCACAGCTCTGAGCCCATGTTGGTGAGCAGCACTGGGTGCTGTGCTCACTGCCCATGGACAGCTCAGTGCCCATAGACAGCACTGGGTGCTGCACTGGGTGCTGCTCTCACTGCCCATGGACAGCACTAGGTGCTGCTCTCACTGCTCATGGACAGCACTGGGTGCTGTGCTCACTGCCTGTGGACAGCACTGGGTGCTGCTCTCACTGCCCATGGACAGCGCTGGGTGCTACTCTCACTGCCCATGGACAGCACTGGGTGCTGCTCTCACTGCCCATGGACAGCTCTGCATGCACTGCCTCCCCCAGCCTGCAGCTCCTACTGCCTGGTCTGGTCACTCCCAGCTGGCTCGGTGGCTCCCGGGGAGGCGCAGACCAGTGGATGCTCCAGTGCCGATGCCTTCCATGGCAGAAACCTGCAAGGGAAGAGGCAGCCCCAGGCCATGTGCTGCTCCTTCTGCCTCCGGGCACGGGGCTGTATGTGGGGGCTTGGCCGAGGCTGTAGGAGCAGTGCCCCTGAGCAATCACAGCCGTTAGGGGTGGAAGAGACCTCTGGAGACCACCCAGTCCAACTCCCCTGCTAGGCAGGTCACCTAGAGCATGTGCAGGTGGGTTTGGAATGTCTCCAGAGAGATGTCCTTGGGCAGCCTGTTCCAGTGCTCTGCCACCTCCGTGGAAAGAAGTTCTCCTTCTTTACTCAGGAACTCCAAGTAACTTCTTTCCTCAGAAGTTCATGAGAAGCCCCTCCCTGGGCTCCTGTTTGGAGGACCCTTGACGCGGGGCTGCAGCCCTGCCCGCGGAAGGGAACGGGTTCTGGTCCTGGGCAGTGCAGCTGGTGGAACTGGATGCGCTTGCCCTGGTGCCCATCAGCTGGGGAGCACCAAGCCCTGCATGCCTGGGGCTGGTCCTCTTCCCTGCTCTGTGCCAGAGTAGCTCTTAGGAGGTTCACAAAAACGGGATGTCTCTTTGGGTTGTAAAACGAATGACCTGATCATAAGGGGAGTCTGGAAGGAAAAGGTCACCCAGCATGGCCCGGGGGTGCTGTCGCTCAGCTCCCCATCCAGAGCTCTGGTGTTGGGTTTGGTAGGTGTGGGGTTTAGGTGGGACTGGCAGGAAAACTGTCTCTCTTGGCAGGCCCTTCCAATGCTGGGTTCGCAAGGCACAATTAGGATGTAAGGCTGGTTGCTGTTGTTGAATGTGAACTTATTAAGTATTAATAAATGCACTGATAATTCTATCTCATTTCCAGTCTAATTGAAATTATATTAACTTATATATCACTTTATATATTCAAAGTGCTGCACAAATATTAACTAATTAGTCAAATTGTTATTTTCTCTGTAATCATCCGTGGAGGTGGCAGAAATTAATTTAGGATTAACCCAACCCTTTGACTTAGTTCCATCCTCCCATGTGAGCTGTGTTTGGTGCACCTGTCCTCGCTGCTGCCATGGTCTAGTAACCACGGTGGGGTTGGACTCGATGGTCTTTGAGGTCTCTTCCAACCTGGTTGGTCTGTGATTCTGTGATTCCTGTGCCCCTTACGTGCTCTGCCCCTCATCCTTCGCTCGCCTCTCGGATTCTGCAGCCACAGTCATTCCCGTGCTGCTTGGCTGTTGCGCACTCTGATGCCGTGTGGCCCTGGGCCTGGTTGGAGATTTGAGGCACTTCTTCAGCAGAAATAAAACAAAAATCAGCTTATCTCCACTTAAGTCATGTCGGGTGTCTTCAGATGACCCCTAGGAACCCTTAGGACGGTGAGCAGAGCACAGCTGGCTCCACATGAGCTGGTGCAGAATCCCATTGTAGGTTGGATTGTCAGAGCTAAGGACAGAAGGTTCTGTTTCTGCGGAATCCAGTCCACAGGTAATGTTGCTTTCTATAAATCAGCTTCTACTCAGTAAGTCAGTACATTAGTTAGATTCCTAATATCATTTAGCACTGCATACTTAAAAATGCAATTTTGAAATCGTTTGGTGACTGTTACCTTTGCAACACTAATTCCCTGCTTCGCACTGACTCGGGTTAGATCTCGTGCAGAGTTTTGCCGTGTTTGGCTGTTGAGGAGTGAGGCAGTGCTGATCTCTGCTCCGGGAGATCACAGAGCACAGCTGGCAGCACGCAGAGGAGCCGCGGCGCTGAGGAGTGCTCGGGTGTCCTGTTTCACTGGCATGGTGTGAGCACTGGGTGGGGGAAAGCAGCACATTCGGGTGGTGTGTGTGACAGAGCGTGGGGATGGGCAGGGGCTCTACCAGTGGGGCTGGCTGAGGCTGGCACGGGCACAGCTGTGAGTGCAGGTAACCTCACGGGCACATCTGTGGAGGACCAGGCTGTGAAATGGGTGCCAAGGAGTCTGCGGCAGTTAAATCTCTGTTTGGGTGAGAGCAGTGAGAGGAACTGATTCTAAAGGTGACTTTTGTTTGTTGCAGTAAATCCTCAGAGGGACCCATTCTTTAGTACTTAGAGAAGCATCAGAGTTGCCAGCAAAGGAGCCAGGTAAATTCTCAGTCCCCAGTGAGCTGGAAGGAGGTGACGGTGTGTGTGCTCTGGGTGCAAGAAGAGGTGATGTGCATTGCTGTTGGAAGTTGTTTAAAAGTCAGAACATTTCTTTTTGCAATTGCAGTGGGCTGGGAACACAGACAGACTAATTTAGCACAGCTCAGGTGGTAAGTTTTAAGTTGTACAACCACAGCAACCGTGTCACCTCTGATTCTGACTTTAGTAGTGAGATACTCATTCATACAGGCTTAAAACTGCCCCTTTTGTATTGCTGGAAGTGTATGTAAAATTATAGATATGCACAATGATTGCATAGAAGGAGATTAAGTTTTGTTTCTTTACTGGCTGGTGGCCACTGGAAAACTTCTGTTATGGCATGTGGGAAGCATTAATAACTGTCTCTGATACGTGTTCTGTATTGAGTATCGCTTTAGGGTATGTGTTTGTGTATGTCCTCACGTAGCTCACCTGCAAACGCTGTGTGACTTGGAGGAACTGGGCGGAGAAGGCTGATGCAATAGGCTGTGAAACTCGTGTTGGTTGGCACATCAGTGGGAATCCTGAGCCACGAGCGAGGGCACAGGTTTGGGGTGACCTGCAGCACTGATGAGCATCGAGCTAACACCGTGGGGATACTCTGCTATGTTCTGATCCTTCTCTGAGAAGCAAAAGGAAATCCCCTGCTTTTCCAGAGTCTGGAATTGCTAGAGTTGTCAGATCAGCTGATCTGTCACTGGGGTATTTGTAATTGAAAAGCTCCAGTTATCTCTGAAGTTGTGGTTTGTTTGCCCTTCTGTGCAGAGACCCAGCACCAGACACTGCCCACACTGCTCTTTCTGGAGCTGGGTACTGGCTGTGCATGTGCAGGACAGTGTGATTTTCCTGAGTGGGCTCTGCTTAGAAGTCCCTCTTGGGCTTTGGGCTTGGAAGTGTTTGCAGTTGGGCTCCAGAAGGCCTTGCTGTTTTGAGTGCTCTGTTGCACCCCAGTGCTGCAGGGTTTCTGTCAGAACATTGGCTGCACACTGGAGGTTGGTTCCCATCCCTGATTCTGCATTCAGGAGCCTCCACTGGATGAGACAAAACAAAGGGAAACATTGCTTGTAACTTCCAAACGATTGACCCATTTTCCCTTATTGGGAGCTAAATTAGGTGTGAACGGGATCAGTTCCTTGTGTTGTGCACAGAAGTGCTTTATCCGGAGCTGAGGTGTGATTTGTCTGGGAAGGGAGGAGACAACAGCTGTGGAGGTTGTTCTTGGTGAGAAGGGCTCTGGCTGGAGGCAGATGACACCAGGCTCTGGAAAAACTTGCCTCCCAGAGGAATTCGCTGGACAGAGTTTGCTGGGAGAAACTGCCAGGGGAGGGTCTTTACTGGAAGTTGAATCCAGCCTGAGCTGTAGTGGTTGCCTCTGCTGTGGCTATAAATAGAAACTACTTGCCTGCCAAATTTCAGTTTTTAGAGCCCTTTGAATTTGCGCCAAGGAAATAATATCTTCATTTGTGTATCTGTTTATTTCCTGTCCGTGCATGACTCCAAGTGGCGACTTACTAGACATTTTAGGCTGACAGAAGTGAGGAGTGGGTGCACTGAGGGTCTGGGCCAGGCCCATCCTGCTGTTCTGGCTCAGGGTGATGCTGCTGGCACGTTCTCGCCCGGGCTGGTGGTGCAGGGCGTGGGAGAGTGAGGGGCAGGGCCTGAGGTGCCCGCGGGCACACTCCAGGGCTAGGTGCTCACTCCTGGGCACAGTCTCCCCGTGCCAGCCTGGCTTTGTGAGCGGCTGCTCCTGCTGTCCGGTGTGCCCGGAGGGGGTGCTGCTGTGGTGGACTCTGCTTCTGGAGCTCCCGCAGGCCCGGGGCAGGCGTGGGATAAACAAGCAGTGTCTCTGCCAAGGTGCACACTGGCTTTGCACAGTGGGAGGAGAGCAGCGTTTTAGTGAGGTGAGGCTGTCGGGAGGAAGACCCTCGCCGAGGCAGGACGGCCCATGAGTGCGTGGGGAGGGGGATGACTGTTCTTTAGTGATGCTGACTGGGAAGATCCAGGCACATCAAGTGATACGTGGGTTTGGCATGAAGTGAATCTTGAATTAAAATAATAACAGTGTCCTAGCTGGGTTTTCCCTCAATCCTGGTTGACGAGGCTCCCTCCTGGAAGGTGGGTAGTGCAGCTGGGAGCCGTTTAACTGGGAAAGGTTTCTGGTGTTTTAATTAAAAGCTGAGTGCTGCTGCTGCCAACAGCATCCTCCTGCCTTTCCAATTGGATCTGAAAGAGAGGAGGTCCCTGGGACTCTGAGGGAAGGCTTTGGGCTGTCAGTCATGCTCAGGTACATGGCTAATTTGGGGCTTTGTGGAGATGCTTGAACTCCAAAGGCAAGTCTGGTTTTCAGAGGCTTTCTTCTCTCAGCAGCACTGATCCTGGCTGGCACAGCTGTGCCTCCTCTGCTCTGTACGGGCTGTCTTGACTTGCTTCTCAGATTGTTAAAGAAGAAGTACAGATACTGGTGAGAATACAGGGGGAGAGTGTGGTCCTGTGCTCTTGGCTTTGACCCTGGCATTGGTTGGAAACTGAGTTTCTGTGCTAGAGAAGATTGTGTCTTTGGAAGGAGTTCTGTTGCAAGCAGAGGTAGAGGAGGAAACCACGGCTGCATTTAGGGGAAGAGAGATGCTGGAGGGTCCAGTGCTGAGAGCACTGAATCACCGTTTGTAGATTCCTAGCTTTACAGATGGAAGCTGTTGTCAGCCTTGATTCCTCTGGAAGATGGGAATATTCCAGCTCAGCAGCTGCAGCCCCATCCCTGCCGCTTTCCCATGGAAAATGTTGATGTTACTAAAAGGGCACTTGCTGTCAGCCAAGCGTTCTGCCAGACATTTCCTGACCCGGCTTTGTGCTTAACCTCTTGTCTCACTTTCTCCATCTGTGAAATGGATGTGCTGGTTCCCAGCCACCTGTATAAAACGCTGGAATTCGTGGGTTAAGTTATGGCCTCGTGGTCTCATTTAGGACTGAATTCCTTTGAAAGCTGCAGCTGCTTTGATGGCAATTCCCAGTAGGGCTGGGCCTATCTCTCACGTAGGTAGGAACTTTAAAAATGCAAACATTAGGCAAACACAAAGTTTATTCTTGTCAAATTACGTGTATCCATCTATTCCCTCTGTGCCATGTGCAGATGATCCCTTTATTCTGCCACTGCTTCTGTGTGTGCTGGGAAGGTGAATTCTTGCCCCTCTTCCAGCCTGCTCAGAGGTGTTAGTTAACATTTGCTTGGCATAGATTGATCACAGCAACACACCATGCATGTTTTGGAGTGCACTCCCAGTGTGATGGCAAACCCTTCAGTCTGGGGATCTGCTGCTAACACAAGCAGTGAGAGGGGAGGAATGAGCCACATTTCTCATCTCCGTTTCGTCTACACTTAATTGACTGTAGGGGCTGTGTATTCCTGTTCAGTCTTTGCTCATCAAAACTAATGTGTGTTACATACTCTCATAAATCAAAAGCTAATTTGGGATATGAAAAGATACTTTCTTTGCAGCAGATGAAACAATTAGTAGCACTTGAGTTTTAATGTAGTCTGTGTTTGCACCAGAGCTGGAAAGGATGACATGTGTGTTCTGTAAGTCAGCAGCTTGCAAATTTTGTTGCTTTAAAAGAGTTCCTAGGGGTGTTTTGGTGACGTGCTGTGTGCTTTGGTAGGCTGACAGAGTTTGAAGATACACCAACCAGCCAGCTCACCATTGATGAGTTCATGAAGATTGACTTGGAAGAAGAATGTGATCCTCCTTCATTCACAGCTGGTCAAAAGAAACTGAAGATACAGCAGGTGAGTTCTCAGTCAGATGCTCTCTGTATTTCTTCCCTCTCTCCTCCCTCTGTGTTCCCTTTCTAATCAGTGAATACAAAATCCAAACTGACTGACCTTTGCTACTTGGCCCAGCACCACTGAGCTGTGTCCCATGGGCCACCAGTGCCTGCACTTCTCTCTTGTGTGCTGCCTGGTCTCCCCCCAGGGTCAGCAAGGAGCAGGGCTGCGGAGGTGTGAGGGCGGCAGTGTGGTCAGAAACCACATGCTGTTGGTCCTGTGGCCAGGAGAAGTACCATTTGCATAGAACTTTTTAAAGACAGGTGTGAAAACAACCCAGTCGCTCTGATGAGACTGACAGGGGTTTGTGTGGTACAACACCTGCTGCCACAGAGATCAGTTCTCGTGTGGCTCAATTTCCTGCAGAGCATGAGCTAAAGCTGGCACCAGAGGAGATGTTACTGCTGCCACAGTCTATTCTCACATTCTCGGTGTGTTGGGATTTGTTTGCCCTAGCTGTGCTGTTGTTTCAAGGTCTGTAGGGTGAGGGATGCTCTCAGGGGCCTGCCAGGTGCTGTAGGTCAGAGCTTCACCCTGCCAGGCCTGTGTGCTCTGCCTGGCACAGGCTCTCCAGCCTTAGCACTGCCCTCACATCTCCAGGCACACTCAGTCTGACTGCTGAAGAATGAGGCCTTTTATTTACAGCTGCCAGAGTGAAGGTTCCTGTTGCAGTGTGGAGAGGGGAGAGAACGTTTGAAATGGGTCAGGATTTCCAAATGTGTCTGTTTTATGTGTCTGGCACTGCAAGGCAATTCCAGCAGAGTCAGAACCTGCTCTGCCTTGCAGTGCCTGCATTCCCTGCCTCAGGCCCACAAACCTTCAGAGCTGTTGCGTCCCTTGTAGTGGTTTCACGTTTGTTTGTTTCTCTTCCAGCTTGAGAAGGCACTATCGAAGAAGCTGGAGGATTTTGAAGGTATGAGTTACGTTTAGTGTAACATATCATTTCTTCAGTATGACATCAGTGGTTGCTTAGTTTTATTTTTCTTTGAACCCCCAGGAGAAATATCGAGCTACCAAGATGAGATAGAGATTGAGTTAGAGAACAGCAGACCGAAAGCAAAAGGAGTATATGCAAACTTCACTAAAGATGGTAAGTCTGAAGGTTGTGGCTCCTGGAATAGTGTTGGGCTTGGATCTGGCAGTCTGAGGTGTGTGTGTGGTGCTCAGGGTGATCACGTGTGTGCACACTGCGAGGTCTCCATGGCGTCGGGGCTCTCTCTGCGGAGTGCTTGGCTCACAGCTCCAGAGCTGCGTTGTTCATTGCAGCAGCAGGCCACTAACCATCCCACCTGCTTTTCTTTCCTGGTGCAGTAAGGTTGGCACTGGCACCTGAGAACTCTCTGTCATCACTGTGAGTGCAGTGGACCAGTACCCAGACCCTTCTGTCGCCGAGTTCCCCAGTCAGCTTCCCACGTGGAAGGGCTGACCTGGCGATTTCCAGTGTGCAATTGTACAGTACAGAGCTGATTTCTCTTGCAGAGCCTGTTTGCCTAACTGGATGTGACAGTGCTTCCATTTTAAATGCTGACTGTAGTCACAAAATTGCATTTTAATTGTCAAGGTGGTG